TGATTTTTAAAAATCAATCAGCTGGGTGTAGTGGCACACACCTATGATATCAATGCCACCCTGGGCTACATAAGCAAGTTCAAGGCCAGCCTGAACTATAGAGGGAGACCCTGTCTCAAAAAAAAAAAAAAGAAAAAAAAAAACACAAAAAGTAAAAAATCAGGTTCTGGTAAAAATGCTCAGGACAGATGGAAGGCTGTGAAGGTGTGCTCTGCTGAGGGTCCAATCGCAAATTCAACATGAGAATCTGCCTGGGGAATACAACAGCAGGCGATGGATTTTCAAGGACTTACACGCACAAAGGCTGGTTATTCAAATTAAACTTAGGGATCCTCACACACACACAAAATCCCCAGGATTGCAAAACTGGTGGAATATGGCCCTCCCTTCAGTCCTGGCCCTCAGACCAATGAGACTGAAATGCACTTTGCTGGTGCCTCAGTCACACACACCCACTCCATTTGCACACTCTGAAACACCAGCAACCCAAATACATTTAGCCACAAAGAACTGAACTCCTGCCAGGCATGGTGATGCACACCTGTGAACCTAGCATTCTGAAGGCTGAGGCAGGAGGATCACTGCCAATTCGAGGCCAGCCTAGGCTACATAGTGAAGTCAGGCCAGCTTGAACTGCACAGTGAGACCCTGTCTCAAAGAAAAAAGAAAAAAAAATTGAACATCTTTGTGTTAACAGTTGAGAATTACAATCGCTTCTCGGCCTTTCGGCTAAGATCAAGTGTAACAGTTGAGAATTACATCACACATTTTTATGGAAACCAACAGCTCTGCAGCGAGAGATCTCATTTCATCAGGCTTGAGGCTCCAGGGTTATATGATGTCCTTCCGTTTGTATCACTAAGGAAAAACCACCAGCTAAACTACAGCACATCATTAGTTTTAAAACACAGCCAAGCTTATAGATGTGAAAACAAACCATGCACCTTAGAATAAATGTAGCATTAAAAATTCACACACAAAAATTAACGCAAATATGAATGGCAGTGATGAGAAGCCCCATGAGCCAATTTTTGGCTTTTTTTTTTTCAGAGACTACGGCTTCTCAGCCAGCCTCTCATTTTCAGACCACTTTCTCTCCTCTTTTTTTCTGATCTCTACATCCAGCTCCTCACTTCCAACTTGTGTCACCTCAAACTTTTCACGCTGACATAAACCCTCCCAGCCTCTGCTTCTTAGACCAGACATTCTTGTTCCTTTCTGCTCTCGTGAGGACAAAGGAAGAAGGACATACACACTCTCACTGAGTAGGAACACACAGCAGCGCAGGGATTCTAAATCCTTAGCTCTCCCTGAACCACAAGCATTCTCTTATATATCGGCTGTGAGGAAGAGCCGTAGCAAGGCTGCAGAGGCAAAGGGAAAACACAATGTTGTGTATCCAGGCCTTTGTTCGCTACTGCAAATAGACACCACGCCTGCCGAATCTACGGGTCATGAGAACACCTAAGCCATCGCCACACACGGATGAGGTGAATCCTACAGGAAGAAAGAACTCTGGGGCTTATTTTCCTACTGTGTTCTCCACCTCTTCCTTCACTTTCTATAAATACAAGACAGTATAGGATTGGCATCCATTTCTCCTCTGTTAGATTAAAGAGAGGGTTTTCCCAGCCTTTTACTAGTCTGCCATTAGAGGATTCTGAATGTTGAAAAAGAACATTACAATTTACAAGAGCCCATCGCTAAATACAGATTCTACTATATTAAATAACAAACTGCTTTTTCTCAGGAAATACATGAATTCTGTAAGGTACTTTTATTGTTAAGTGAAGAGTATGTAAAAGACCAAACTGTATGTTAAATGACATTAAGTCCAAACTTTGTCATTAAATATCGGAAAACACCAAAGCCTTTCCAAAGTATAAAGAAGTTCTCCTTCTAAAAAGTGTAAGCCACCAGAAACTAAGAAGCAATTTTAGGCATGGTCAACTCACTGTGGTTTAAAAAAAAAACAAAAACACAGTACTAAATATTTTAGCTGAGATTCAAAATAAAAGCTAACTTTTTAATATATTATTCACCACTAATTAACACTACTATTAGACATATTCTATAATATTCAGAAAAGAGAGTACTTAGAAATAACAGCAAGGTAACAAAACCAAAAACTTCTTATAAAGAGAAAAGCTTAATAGAAAGCTAACACAAAAAATAAAACTCGTATAAGGCAAAAGACATTAATAAGTCAAGTATTATGTATCAAAAATATATCGCTAACAAAGTTAAAAGATTAAATTACAATAAGGAGAAAAACATTCACAAAACACATGACAAATTCTCCCACAAATTTTGCAAAGACATGAGAAAGCCAACCTAATTTTAAAAAGGACAAACAAGTCATTAAAAAAAAATGTAAATGCTCAATTAATTTAATTTTCTTTTTTTTCCTGTCTTTTTTTTTTTTTTTTTGGTTTTTTTCCGGTACCGGGAACCGAACTCATGACCTTGCGCATGCCAGGCAGGCGCTTTTGCCACTGAGCTAAATCCCCAGCCCCTTTCCTGTCTTTTTAAGACAGGGTCTTGCTATGCAGTTCAGGCTGGCCTTGAGCTCACTTTGTAGCCCAGGCTAGTCTCAAACTTGCAACAATCCTCCTGCCTCAGCCTCCTCCCCAGTGCTGGGATTACAGGTGTGCGTAACCACACCCAGCTGCTCAATTAATTTGAAAAAATGTTGAACTCATGAAGAAATTAAGGAGGTACCATTTAAACAACTAAATGCCATTTTCAACCACTAGGATGAAAAAAACAAAGCAAAACAGTTAACAGTGTTGGCTATTTTATTTTTTCTGTAGCTGATGAACTGCTGGCAAAAATATGAAACGCTGAAACTGTTAAAAACTATCAATATGAGTATACTGAAAATAAACACTGCCCCAGTGTACATAATTATTTATGAATTAAGTCAGCAATACTATGTCACTAGTAAAAATTACAAAATTTTTCTATATTTATTGACTCAGAGGGCTGGCTATTTCAAGAAATCAAGATGCAGAGTAAGTGAACAGTATGTTTTTTAAAAACATAGGCTTCTATTAAGATTTTAAACTAATCTGACATGGTAGCCCAAACTGGGCATTCTGAGAAGCTGGGGCAGGAAGATGGAAAGTTCAAGCCCAGCGCGGGCAATGTAGTGACTTAGCAAGACTTGTGTCTCAAGAAAAAAATAAAAAAGCCTGGGGTGCAGCTCTATGTGAAAGCCCTGGGTTCAATCAGCAGTGCAGCAAAAACCAAACAAAACAACTAGTCTTCTGCTCCAGCACCTTGTTACCCATGGTTGGCTATGTTTGGTTTCCCTCCTTGGGGCAAGAAGAAAACCAACAGATATTTAGCTAGAGAAAAGATTACAAGATTACAAGCAAAAGTAGCACTGTTTCCAAATCATCTAATAAACCACAGGCACCCAAATGTAGTAGAATTAAAATGTATCTGTGCCTTGTACATGGTAAACACACTATGGTATTTGCTGAATTAATATGGTATATGCATCCATGTTATTGTATAGGAATTATTCCAGTAAAATTTTATTGACTACTACCAAATGCCAGATTATATCCTAGCTGGATCTAAGATGTGGTACCAGCCAGGGTGAGCTCTTAGGGAGACAATGACATAAACAAATAGCTGCACTACACATTATAGCAAATGCTGTACTAGAGGAAAAGGCAGAGCAAAAATTAACTCTGCCTAAGAAGGAAGGAAGGCTTGAAGGTTTCACAAAAAGAAGAGACTTTAGATGAGAAATTCATCCCCAAGGACACACTACAGGCTTAAAAAAAAAAAAAGAGCACGCTCATTCCAACAACCCGGGCCTCATTTCAGCGCTTTTGTGTATCAGCTGTGCAACCTTAAGCACGCTGCCTTCATTTCTTCATCCAAAAAATGGGGCCAAAAACAGTATCTACCTCTATGCAGGAAAGGTGCGTGAACAGCTTGTGGGAAACCTTACTTCCAACAAGGCAGCCTCCTCTCCGATGCAGATGTCTCCCTCTTCCCGGCCCCGGTCCTCCAGGAAGACAGTCCCTGCTTGGCACCTTCAGACTGTGTGTCATATGCTTTTCCTATGGCTTCAGCTTCAATCTCCTACTCAGTTGAAGGCAGTCCCCATCTAGGGAGCGCATGTACACGTGCTCAGTACGAAGGTACGCAGTGAAATGCAGCTTGAATCAGACTCCAGCCCATAACTGCAAGACAGGAAGGAGGGTTAGGTGCCGCGGAGGGCGGCGCAGGAACTGCCCCCAGAGCAAGGAAGTGCTACTTATTTGCTGACACGCCGAGTGCCGGGCTAGCATGGAAATCGCAGGGCACACCAGATTGTTTCTGACGCGCAGCGACTGGTGGGGAGGCCCGGCCATCCAACCACTGACCAACCCCGCACAGGACCGGGAAGGGCCCGGCGGAAGGAACACGGCAGGCACGAAACAGAGGACCACGTCCAGCGCTCGGTGCTGGCGACAGCAGCTTGGACAAACGGACTCTAGATGATCAGACATCAGAAAGGGGGCGGGGGGCCCGGCAGGCACCCCAGGCTGAACCCATGTAAGAAGCACGGCCTTGCAGAGATTGACGCCTTACCGCGGAGCCCAGGCTGGCGTCCCCCGGCACCACGACGGGACCGGGAGCCGGAGCCCGGGAAGCGCGGGGAGCGCGGGTGCCGGCCGCGGCTGCCGGCGTCAGCACGCGTGCACAGAGCCCACTGTGACCCAGCGGCCCGGGAGGGTCTCCGGAGAGACGAGCGGCTCCCGGACGTCACTTCTGGCCGGGCGCTCGGAGGAGCCGAGCGGGCGCAGGACGCTGCCGTCCCGAGCGCGACCCGGGCGCGGGCGTCAGCCCTGCGGGAAGCCTTCACCGAGATCCCGAGGGCCCCGCGGCTCCCCCAGCCTCGGCCCCGGGCCCAGCCGCGCAGCAGAACTCACCGGAGACCACGCCGCTGTCACCGCGGGGAAACGCTAGTCCCTGCGAGGAACAACTTCCAGCAAACTCGCAGACCTAGACGCCAACCTGCTAGTGCCTTCCTAGTTACAACCAAACCCGCTGTAGGGTTTTGAAGAGCAGCCATCGCCTCCAATCGCCCGCTAGAAGCTGGCCTGATGGGCGGAGTCGAGCCCCTCGGGGCGGGGCTAGAAGGCGGGAGTCTCCGCCCACGCAAGCTTGGTTGAGAGGTCCGTCCGCGGTTGCAAAGGTACGGCTGTTTGAAGCGGGCGCCAGAGGTGGCGGGAAGCTGTCGCTGTGCTCCCATTGGTGAGCCCGCGAGCCAATTAAGCGAGGGCTGGCTCTGGGTGGGTGGGGCTATCGGTTGCCTAGAGACACGGGGCGCCCCGCCCGCTTCCTGCCGGGGTCTTAGCTCTTTGCGCTCCTGCGCTCGCGTTCTCGGCGGAGGCGCGCAGGACCCGTTTCCTCCGCCAGACTCTCGCCGCAGAGGTTCTCGCGTTTACGTTTACCCTTCTGCTCGCTGAGACGCCGGGTGCCGGTCCGCTGTGTCTGCTGGCGCCCCGGGCCGCCTCTCTGGCCGCTGTGCCGTGGGGCGGCGCGTTCGCTGCCGTCCAGCCCGGTGCCCGAGGCTGTGCCCGGCCGCCTCGCGAAGGTGGCTGCGGGCCTGCCCTTCCCGCAGCACCCAGACTCCCGGGCACAGGGCCCGGTGGTGTCAGGGCGCGGCGCCACGGTCCGGACTGCCTCGGCCTCCCCTGCGCTCGCGCCCCGGCCCGTAACCCCGGGCCCTGGCCGGAAGGACGCGGTGAACGAAGTCCGGGCCACACAGGGAGGCTGAGGCCTGCCCGGCCCCCGCCGCGAGCCCTGGGCAGAAAGGCGGCGGGGAGCTGCCGCAGCTGCCGCCCGCGCTGTGCACCGCGGAGGTGGGACAGGTGAAGCCTGCTTGACTCTGATTGCGTGCGCCCGTGTCTGGGTGAATACGGCCACGGGCGCCGGTCACTCGGGGCTCTTTGTCCGAGGGAGACGGGCCCCGGCCCCTCCCGCATGTTAACCTATTCTGGGTCTCTTTGGGTTTCATCTTCGCCTCCCCTTGGTCAGGCACAAGCTCCTGGGTTGGCCCCCTACGTCTCCCTACCCCACCTCTCCACCAGCATCGCCTTGAGGGAGCGCACCTCCTCTGGAGCCCTTCCTGGCACACCCCACCTCCTCCCCTGGGCGGCCACGATGCCCCCACGTCTGCGCAGGGCATGCGCCCCGCGGTGCGGCGGGAGGACCCCTGTGCCCCTTTCCACTAGCTACTGCACGCGCGTTTCGCTCAGCAGAGTGTCTGTAAGGCTCTTCCTCACTCTCCTACTCAGCGTGCTTTTTGTTCCCTGGGAGGCGCTCAAAGCAATTGTGGGAATCGTGCTAAATGAGTAAGTGAACGAAGAAACAAATAAATGAAGACTATCGGGGCCAGAAAAAGCCAATGAAAGGCGTTCAAGTAAACGGCCTGTGTTGAACCTGGGCCGAAGGGTCTGTTAGGGAGAACGAGCCTCAGGCTCTCTCCGCGGCCGCCGCAGTCCCTCAGGAAACTGTCCAGCGTCCTGTGCAGAGCGCTATGAAAAATGCTGCCGCAAACCGGGCCACAAACGACTGCTTCTCAGAAAGATCGAAGCAGAGGAGTGGGCAGGGTGTATAACCCCTTCCTAGTGCAGCACAGGCTGCAAGGGCTTTCACGAACTATCTCACTCGGTTGCTCACAATCACTGTAGTATTACCCCCGTTTATGGCGGAAGGAGGTTACATTAGAAGGAAAGAGAAAAATTAAGCAACCTGCCCAAGGTCATACAGTTAAATACAAGACAGAATTTGAACCCAGGCCCTTTATCTCCAGAGCTTGTCAGCTACATGCAAAATATTTTAGACTAGCACAGGATTGACAAAAGATGAAGAATAAAGAATAAATCAGCACCCTCTGCTTCTAAACGTGGGTCTGAGTGGAGCTACAAACACACTATAATTAACAAAATCTTCCTTGACTGCCTGTCCTGCTTTAAGTCCTGCCTTGATGCTTCACTAAGAAGTGTAGGGCACAAGCTACTCACAAGCTACCCTACTTTCAAGGTAGCAACACTCTGGGCACAAGCTCCTCACACAGAAAGCGTCTCAGTTACTTTCCTGGTTACTAAGACACAGTGCCTGACACCCACAAGTTAAAGGAGGAAAGGTTTCCTTTGCCTCATGATTCCTAGAGGTTTCAGTTCATAATCAGCTGGCTCCAAGGCAGGGTGGCCTGGCAGTGGGGCATCAACAAGGAGAAATAGTCTGTTACCGTTTGTGTGTGGATGTCCCCCGAAGCCTCGTGCAGTCGTGGGACTGGCTTCTGGAGTTTGTGATTGATCCCATTGGGACTGTGTTTGACCTGGAACAAAATTATCTAAACTGTTCTCGATTTTTGGACAATATAGGTGAACTGTTTAAGCGGTATGGAATACAGAAGTTAAAAGATAAAATGGACTCTGTTTTCCCACGTCTGTTTACCCTCCATTTTTTTGCCAAGCTGTTTTCCTTTCAAGGCCTGTCCTTCCAGTTTACAGTAGTACTGTGAGTCCTGCTTGTGTCAGTATTAATGAGAAGCAGCTTTCAGATGAGATGGCCCCTCTTCAGGGCGTCTGGGAGAAGAATGGTTGTTGCCCCATGGAATATCACATCTGTTGCTAGTGTCGTCCGTAGTTCCAGTTCTCCACATTTTGGGTACTTGAACCAAAACGTAATAGCCCACAGTTTTGTATCCGTTCATTCCTTAGATTCTCCGTCTCCCTCTTCCTGGTCACACTCTCCTCAATCCTTCCTTTCTAGCAGAAACACAGTTATGATTTTGGAGGCCACTGGTTCAGTGAGTATTTGTGCCAGTCCTGTCCATCACCTTCCTATCAAGTCCCCCCTGAATTATCAAGGAAAACCCATTTCCACTGCTAGAGTTTTAGCATTTCGATAGGCCCTTGTTATATTGGTTATGTAGGAAGGAGTCTTATGTACCCCGTTTCCTTAGAGCCAACTCCGCATTTTCCTCCCGTCTGTCTCTGTCTCTGAGACCCTTCCTTTTCTAACCCCTCAGCCTTCTGAGTGTCATTATGATGTGATTGTTTCTCAGCTCCATTTCATCTGTCACTTCCTTGGTTGGAGAACAACATTGCCAACCCGGCCTTGGCTTTTTCAGTATTGCACTTAGTAGGGTGTGTGACAGTTTGCTGAGAGGCTGCAGGCCCTGGCTGTGGGA